AGCAGGTCGAGGCTGCAGTGGCCAGGAGCGGCCACTGCACTCCAGTCTGGGCGACAGAGAGAGACTCCAACTCAAAAAAAAAAAAAAAGAAAGAAAATAGAAAAAAAAAAAAAATTAGCTGGGCATGGTGGCACACATGGATAAAGGGCGATACAGTGAGACCCTGACTCGAAAAAAAAAATAAAAAAGATGTTTCCTTCCTTTTCAAGAAAGGTGGAAATACCACGCCAAAGTTCAAGACAGACATCTTTTTCCGGTGGATGAATTCGCTCAAGTTCATTTGACATGGGGACATAACCCCTTTCTCTCTGGGGCTGTTCTCCCTTGGTGAAGCTCAGATCTTCCTAGAAATGATAACTGTTCTTGCTGTGATGGCCGCTGCCAAGGCAGGGAGTCGGGGTTGTCTGCCTTTCCGGAGGCCTCGGAGGGCTGTCTGTCCCACCAGAATGCCACCAACGGGCTCCCCAGGTTGCCAAGGGCCTGTGAGGCACGTTCCTGGGAGGAAGCCTGGAGGGCTAGAATTTGTGGATTTGTAGACGCATCCACAGCCAACAACAGCCACCGTGTTCCTTAGCTCTGAAAGAAGATGCATAATTTTTTAGTTGCCAAGTTACCTCTGACATGAGTTAAGCAGAATAAACAGTCCATTTGAAGGTGGGGAAAAAAAAAAAGAAATGACAACTATTCGTATGTGAAACTTGAGGCCTGAAATGCCTATTCTGCTAAAATTCTCTGATTTTAATATCTAGAGATTTGTTTCCAAAGTTGGAAGCAAGGAAGGGTCCCTACACCAAGAAACATTGCTTTTAACACTACAAATGCTTTTTCTATGTGTTTTACAACCAACACAAGCTGTACGTGTTAAGGAAATACATCGAAGAGAAAGCATGTCTTCCAACTGTAAATAAGAGGCGAAACTGAGAAGGAACCTCCTTTGAAACAAGGGGACACACTGTGTTGGCCAGTGTCTCCACTGCACTTGGAGATTTTGTCATTAAAAATTTCCTCTAGCTGGGCTCGGTGGCTCAGCCTGTAATCCCAGCACTTTGGGAGGCTGAGGCAAGAGGATTGCCTGAGCCCAAGGGTTCGAGACCAGCCTGGGCAACATGGTGAACCCTCATCTCTACAATAAATCAAGAAATTAGCTAGACATGGTAGCACGCCTATAGTTCTGGTTGCTTGGAAGGCTGAGGCGGAAGGATCGCTGGAGCCCAGCAGGTCGACGCTGGGGTGGCTGTGAGCATGCCACTGCACTCCAGCCTGGGCGATGGAGTGAGGCTCCGACTCAAAAAAAAAAAAAATTTCCTCCATTAAGATTGAAAAAAGCAGGAGACTGAGCCCCTTTGGGCTATGGCAACCCATCACAGGGGTGTGTTTGATGGTTGATTTGCTGTATTGGGTATTTCCCATTTTCTAATCATTTTGTAACACACATGCTGACTCTTTCTCTTCCCTTCTTTTTTCCTTGGGAAAAATAAATAAAGACCTATTGGTACTGAAACTGTCACACACACACACACACACACACACAAAAAGATTGAAGAAAAAAAACCCAAACCATATTTTTAGACTTTGGATTTTGTATAGTTTCTATTTTTAAAAAGAAATGCAAAGTTTAGCATTTAGAAGCACATGATGTGTGTTCACTCGGGCCTGTCCATTTCACACCAAAACGCAACCTAGACTAACAAAACGGCTGTCAATGAAACAGCTCTGAATTTCCCATGATCTGACATTAGTCATCATTTTTGAATGACTGCAGCATTCTCTGATATGACTGCAGATGCTATTTTGAAGGAGAGGGAATTCTGCATTCCTTAAAAACCACAACTTTTTTATTTTCTTTGTTAAATACTTCATTTAAAGAAAAAGCTTTCATTTCCTCTAACTCAAAATATATACATGTGATAATTTATATGTTAACATTGCTAAACTAGAAAATAAAACGAATTTCATCATGAAAATGAAATTTGTAGCCAGACACAGTGGCTCACACCTGTAATCCCAGCACTTTGGGAGGCTGAGGCAAGAGGATTGCCTGAGCCCAGGGGTTCGAGACCAGCTTGGGCAACTTGGCAAGACCTAGTCTCCACAATAAAAAAAAAAAATTAACTGAGTGTGGTGGCCTGTGCCTGTAGTTCCAGCTACTGAGAAGGCTGAGGCAGGAGGATCACCTGAGCCCAGCAGGTCAAGGCTGCGGTGGCCGTGAGTGTACCACTGCACTCCAGCCTGGGCAACAGAGTGAGATTCCAACTCAAAAAACAAACAAAAAGAAACAGCTAGATGTATTTTAATTGACTTAGTTATAAGTGATCTAGAGTTTTTTAAAATTGCTTAAGTAAATCAACCCTCTTGTCACCTGTGTGAGGAGAGGGGAGACTCTGGTCTCCAGGGACTTCACAGGGCCATTACTTTGAGTACAATATCAATACCAATATTTAGCCAAGCACTACAAAGAAAAATAAATATTTCCACATGAAGCCGGCCCAGTCAGAAGGAAAGTCAACAGAGACAAGTGTTCCTCCACCTCCCACCCTCCGTCCACACCATTCTTTTCCCCAAAGATTCTTTTTATCTAACCAGACAACGCTGAAATTTTTAAAAATGATTTACACTTTTAGGCACATCATTCTTCTGAAGAATGTGGGATTTCAGTTGTTATCCTTTGCTCTTTCCATGTCTGTTTTTGGTGGGATCCCCTGGGAGGGTGTCAAACTTGCTAGGACACTGTGACAAACATTCTGTGCTTGGCCAAACTTTAGCTGGACTCCCAAAGCTTCTCCTAGGACCACCTGTGCACATCGTTTTAGCAAACCTGCTGCCTCTGTTTACCAAGAACCTGCTACCCTTTTTTTTTTTTGAGTTGGAGTCTCACTCCGTCACCCAGACTGGAGTGCAGTGGCCGCTCCCGGCCACCGCAGCCTCGACCTGCCGGGCTCCAGCGATCCTTCCGCCTCAGCCTTCCGAGTAGCCGGAACTACAGGCACGCGCTACCACACCCGGCTGATTTTTTATTTATTGTAGAGATGAGGTCTCGCCAAGTTGCCCAGGCGGGTCTCGAACCCGCGGGCTCAGGCAATTCACTCACCTTAGCCTCCCAAGGCGCGGGATTACAGGCTGAGCCACCGAGCCTGGCTGAACCTGCTACCCTTAATGTCTTATCTGTATCTGATCAAGCCCCTCACCCTCCACCCTCTGCCAGCTGGTGTCTGACTACCCTGGCCTATCTTCAGTAAGAATTCTGTTAGGGTGATGCCAGGTGCAGTGGCTCACAACTGTAACCCCAGCACTTTGAGACGCCAAGGCAAGAACATTACTTGAGGCCAGGAGTCAAGGCCAGCCTGGGGAACATAGGGAGACCCATCCCTACAAAAAATAAAAGACAATAAATGAGCCGGGTATGGTGGCACATGCTGGTGGTCCCAGCGACGAGGAGGGCTGAGGTGAGAGGATCGCTTGTGTCCAGGAGTTCGAGGCTGCAGTGAGCTCTGCACTCCAGCCTGAGCAACAGAGCAAGAACCTGTCTTAAAAAGAAAATCCTGTTCGTTGGCTTAGCCAGAATTCCCCATCCTCTGACGTTTCCCTTTAGAACTTTTCCATCCACTGACCCCACCCTACTGCTTGGCATAAACTCCCACCTGCTCATGCCATATTCTGAGTTAGGCCCCCTCTCTCTTGCCCGCTGAGAGATCCACTGCGATGGTGCCCTACGACTCAGTGGCCCTGAAGAAGGTCTCCCTGGCCCTTCCTTACGTGTCACCGCAAGACCCCCCCTGCAGTGGTCCCCCACGACTCAGTGGTCCCGAAGAATGTCTCCCTGACCCTGCCTTCACAAGCGTCATTGGATTTTTTCCTCTGACAACTGGCAAGTGTGAAAAGGATACTGGGGATAACCGCTGCACAGGACACGGCTGAGATGGCCAGCCGCACGTGACACATCAGGACACTGTTCCACTGGGGACAGGACTTGTAGGAGATGATGGACTGCAGGAGCGTGTACACGACACCACAGACGAAAGCCAGAAGGGCGCCTCCATCGTGGACCACCGGCACGGCCAGCTCCTGGGGAGAGACACGGGTGCAGTACTCTGGCGGGCCTGTGGGCATCCAGGCACAAGCACAAGGCCTCGGGCTGCCCGAGCCGTCGGCCATCACAGGCACCGCTCCTGGCGACACGGCCGCTTACAGCAGACTAGCAGAAACACCTCCAGATGCCGAACGTAACGACAAGCACCTGGGTGTTCCATAGCAAACCTGGGCACGTGGGAGGAGGAGAGCAGGGGAAGGGCTGTGGATGGGTCCGGCACACCTGGGTACCAAATCCCAACCCACCACTCTGTTCCGTGACCTTAGTGCAAAGCCCTGGACTCGGTGTCTGTAAAATGGGCACAATCACCCCCTCTTGCAGGCTTGCAGTGAAGATTATAAGATGCCTGTCGCCGGGCTCAGTGGCTCAGCCTGTCATCCCGCGTCTTTGGGAGGCTGAGGTGAGTGGATTGCCTGAGCCCACGGGTTCGAGACCTGCCTGGGCAGCGAGACCTCATCTCTACAATAAATCAAAAATGAGCCGGGCGTGGTAGCGCGCGCCTGTAGTTCCAGCTACTTGGAAGGCTGAGGCGGAAGGATCGCCGGAGCCCAGCAGGTCGAGGCAGCGGTGGCCGGGAGCGGCCACTGCACTCCAGTCTGAGCGACAGAGTGAGACTCCAACTCAAAAAAATAATAATAAAAAAAAAATAATAAAGCAGAATATTGTGCTGCTATAAAAATATTTTTAAAGAATGTTTAGCCGGGCTCGGTGGCTCAGCCTGTCATCCCGCGCCTTTGGGAGGCTGAGGTGAGTGGATTGCCTGAGCCTGCGGGTTCGAGACCCGCCTGGGCAGCGAGACCTCATCTCTACAATAAATCAAAAATGAGCCGGGCGTGGTAGCACGCGCCTGTAGTTCCAGCTACTTGGAAGGCTGAGGTGGAAGGATCACTGGAGCCCAGCAGGTCGAAGCTGCGGTGGCCAGGAACGGCCACCACACTCCAGTCTGGGTAAGAGAGTGAGACACCAACTCAAAAAAAAAAGAAAAAGTACATGATTTGTCAGGCGCATTGGCCCACGCCTGTAATCCCAGCACTCTGGGAGGTCTAAGCAAAAGGATTTCCTGGGCTCAGGAGTTCAAGATCAGCCTGGGCGACATGGGGAGACGTTGTCTCTACAATAAATTTTTAAAATTAGCTGGATGTGGTGGCGCATGCCTGCAGTCCCAGCTACACGCCTGTAGTCCCAGCCTGAGGTGGAAGGATCTCCTGAGTCCAGGAAGTAAAGGCTGCAGTAAGCCATGTTTGGGCCACTGCACTCCAGTCTGGGCAACAAAGTGAGACCCTGACTCAAAAAAACAAACAGGCTGGGCTTGGTGGCTCAGCCTGTAATCCCAGCACTTTGGGAGGCCAAGACGAGTGGGTTGTCTGAGCTTGTGGGTTCGAGACCAACCTGGGCAACTTGGCAAGACCTCATCTCTACAATTAAAAAAAAAAGTTACCTGGGCATAGTAGCATGTACCTGTAGGGGTTCCAGCCACTTAGAAGATTGAGGCGAGCCCAGCGCTTTGGGAGGCTGAGGTGAGTGGACTGCCTGAGCCCGCAGGTTCAAGACCTGCCTGGGCAACTTGGCGAGACCTCATCTCTACAATAAATCAAAAAGTAGCCCTGCGTGGTAACACACGCCTGTAGTTCCAGCTACTTGGAAGGCTGAGTCGGAAGGAATGCTGGAGCCCAGCAGGTTAGGCTGCAGTGGCCGGGTGGCTATGAGTGTGCCACCGCACTCCAGCCTGAGCGACAGAGTGAGACTCCGACTCAAAAACAAATAAACAAACAAATATACAGCACATGACTCATGACTCGTTCCACCATGATGCCAGGGGTGGCCTGGGGTTTTCAGGTTTCTGCTTCCGGTAATTTCTATCAGTCCCCCCCAAGCCACCCCAGATGAATACATCATTTAAGTAAACGAACGTGCCTCTCGCGAGGCAAGGCAACTTCCAACTTCAGAACAAACTCCCAGGCCTGCACCAGCCTCCAAGCAGCGATTTCAGCCGGGAGGCAGCCCTGGCCCATTGAGACTAACAGTGGGGCCAACCCGACAAGGGGTGCAGGCCCACTGGTCTGAGGGTGCCCCCTTCACACCTGCACTGGGCTCCGACCTCCCAACACAGTGACATTCAGATGGAACCACCGAACATCAGCTGAAACTGGAGCACGCAAGCCTTGCCAAGGGACAAGTTGTCTGCTGTCCAGGAGGTCCTGGTTTGGGCACAGGCCCCACTGGCTGCCACGCCTGGGCACACCCTCTACCTGACAGCTCTCTGAGCCGTGGCCCGGACCTCCGCAGCACCACAGGGTTTCCCTCCAGACTGTTCAGCCTCGAGCTGGAGCACAAATAAACTGACATTAAAGATTCATTCTCTACATGAGACAGGGAGATGGGAAAAAAAAAAAAAAAGCTAGGGCGGTGACTCACACCTGTCATCTCAACGTTCTGGGAGGCTGAGATGAGAGGATTGCTGGACCCATGAGTTTGAGACTAGTCTGGGCAAGACAGTGAAACCTTGTCTGTATAAAAAAATTAGAAAATCAGCCAGGTGTGGCGGCATGCACCTGTAGTCTTAGCTACACGGAAGGCTGAGACGGAAGGATTGCTTGAGTCCAGGAGGTGGAGGATGCAGTGAGCCTGATCTTGCCACTGCACTCCAGTCTGGGAGACAGAGTGAGATCTCAACTCAAGACAAAAAAGAATGAGGAAAAATAAATTCCTTTACCCCTTGAACAGTTGGGCAAGGAAAAATAAGCAAAAGGTAAGGCATCTACTGCCAGTGAGTCCCTGTGAGGAATAATCAGAGAAGAAGCACTTTCCACTCTGTTTTCTTTTCCTGCTGAAAATGAGCATCCTGGATTTCCACACCATACCTTGCTTCCTCTTCCTCCCCCTCACAGGTCAGGGTGTGCTTCCTCACTCTGGCGGCTCACCATGTCCTCAGGACCTTCGTGTGCTATCTTCACGGCCCCCACACCAACCTGACACTGTCAGGCGACAGGCCTGATCCAGCAGTTGTGCCGTGTTTTGTTCCCCTCAGAGTAAATACTCTCTCATCAAAGATGTCTTCAGAAGGGAAACGAGCCTTAGTCAGACACGAATTCTGGAAAGAGTCTCAGATGAAAAACCTGCCAACCTGCCTCGTTCATGTAGAGGCGATAAAAAAACACAGAGAACACCAGAACGGTGACAGGGTTAAACCTTAAATTTTCTTTTGCAAAAACTTTTTACAATTTTATTTTCAATTGACAAACAATTGTATATATTTATGGGGCCTCAGATCAGAGTAAGGTTAAAAAGATAAAAATTTGTAAAAATTTAAATTATACTTATGGGTTTGTAGATGTTTTGATATATAGTTACATTGTGGAATGATTAAATCAAGATAATTAACATATCCATCATCTCATACTTATTTGTTTGGGCATTTTTTTTTTTTTTTTTTGAGTAAGAGTCTCACTCTGTCACCCTGGCTAGAGTGCAGTGGCACACTCATGGCCACCGCAATCTCAGTTCACTGGGCTCAGGCAATACTTTTGCCTCAGCCTTTTAAGTAGCTGGAACTACAGGTGCACACCACCACGCCTGGCTAATTTTTTTTATTTATTGTAGAGATGAGGTTTTGCCAGATTGCCCAGGCTGGTTTCGAATCCCTAGGCAATCCTCTCACCTCCGCCTCCCAAAGTGCTGGGATTACAGGTATGAGCCACCACTTCCAGCTACTGAAATTTTTCTAGGTGATAGGCATGTTGATGAAAATATTCCATGTTTTAACTCTATCATTCTAAAAATGTCTTATCAGAGAGGTGTTGTTATCCTACCCATTGATAAGGGATGAAATAGTGGCCCCAAGACGGCAATACTTGCTCATATCACATCAATCATGGAGCGAGGGAAGCTTTAAATCGGTGTCTTCTCCCAAGGCTGTGGGAAATAGTCTTCCTCAGTGCCAAAAATAAGAAGCATTGATGAGAAAAAGCAAATACACAATTCCTAGGTCTACCATCCGAAAGCACGATGGAAAAAACCAAAAAGGAACAGAAAGGGGAGCCCTAGGATGATCTAATCCTAGGACATGATAGGTCGAGCCGCGTGGATGTGGGTTGGTGAGGGCTGGTAGAGATATGTCACTTTCCCCTCTGAATGACTCAGCATCGTGAAACACACAGATGTCATGTTTTTATTTCATAAAGAGCAGACTTTAGGAGAAAACTTAGATGGTTAGATCATCGAATTTTTGGTTCTCTTTAAGTCTCTAATGAAGCAATTAAATCTTTACAAAAACCAGAAACAGAATCTTTAATAGAATCTTTGGCTTCCTGGGGAGCAAAGTGTTTGCCTTGTCATTGTCCTGAAAAATATGTTCTCACAATTTCCTTGTTTGATTTCCTGGAATTTATTTTTGGCATGCCAGGAGCAAACCAACTTGAGCTGTGACCTCAGTTTGAAGGATTTGAGATGTGAGCACCAGAGAGCGTGTGACTGCCTGTGGTGGCTTTTCCTGAGTACCAGTAAGTGACATTTATGAGATGTTCACATATCACTCTCTTTCCCAAACGGGGGGCTGGGATGGCTACTTTGTGGTGTGTCCTCACTAATGTCCGCCAGTGCTTTATTTTTCCTCGAGACGTTTCCTTTTTGAAATCCTGTCATTCGAACCTAGAGGATATGAATGTTAAGTGGAATAAGCCAGTCACAGGAAGATAAATGGTGTATGATCTCACTTACATGTGGAATCTAAAAAAGTCAGACTCAGACTCACGGAAGGAGAGTGGAACATGATGGTGACAGGGTGGGGAAGGATAGGAGCAAGGAGGTATTGGTTGAAGGGTAGACACTTAGTTGGACAGGAAGAAAACATCCTGGAGGTCCACCGTGCAGCATGATGACCATAATGCCTATTTCAAAATTGCTAAAACAAATGTTATTTTAATTTTCGAGTCGGAGGATCACTCTTGTCACCTAGGCTGGAGTGCAGTGACACCATCCTGGCTCACCATAGCCTTAACCTCCTTGACTCAGATCATCCTTTTGCCTCAGCCTCCCGGGTAGCTGGACGACAGGGTGAACCGCCATGGTTGGCTAATTTTTTATTATTATTATTTTCTTTACTTTTTTGTAGAGACAGGGTCTCATGATGTCACTCAGGCTGGTTTCGAACTCCTGGTCTTATGCAATCCTCCTGCCATGGCCTCCCAAAGTGCTGGGATTACAGGTGTGAGCCACCTTGCCTGGCCTTAAAACAGCAGATGTTAAATGTTCTTGCCAGGTCGGGCACAGTGGTTCACGCCTGTAATCCCAGCAGTTTGGGAAGCTGAGTCACGTCACCAAGAGCCTCTCCCATAGTGGCAGAAGTCACATGCCCCTATGCATTGCAGCTCTCAGTGCTTGTCTTATTTCTTTACACAGAGACAATATAGACAGGAAGGTCAAATGGAGCCAGAAGCAGATTTAGTTCACCAAATGCCCCCCATGGAAGCCCTTATGCACTGGCTTTAGAGGGGTTACAGATTTGGCGCTCCCCTTTCTAGCCTCCAGTGTTACCAGGGAAACATAATTAATCATCGTAGGATTTAGAACATTCAAAAACTGAAACTACCTGGCTCTGAGACATGAGGCACTGGCTGGTGGGTCATCTGAAGTTATTGTGTAACCTAAGGAAGGGTACCCTCCCCCTTGCCCCTTGGTAAACACACCTCTGAGTTTCTTAAAGCAACTTTTATGATGACCCCACCTCCCATCAACAGATGACATCCCCAGAAGCCCTGCAGAGAAGATTCTATGAGGCCCACGTGGGGAAGGGCAGACAGAGAATGCTCTGATGACTGTCCAACCCCACACAGGAGGGGATGTTAGGGAACAGAAAGAAGCAGACAGAGGTCCTGAGGTTATTTATGAATGCACATGTACAAACATGCACACAAGAAGTGAATAAGAGCCGGGCTCGGTGGCTCAGCCTGTAATCCTGCGCCTTTGGGAGGCTGAGGTGAGTGGATTGCCTGAGCCCGCGGGTTCGAGACCCGCCTGGGCAACCTGGCGAGACCTCATCTCTACAATAAATCAAAAAATGG